TAATATTTAAATGATAAAATTTTAATATTATAAATAAATTATCAATTATTACTATTTAAAAATAAAATAAAATAATTGGTCATAATAATATTTAAATTAAATAAAATTTTAATATTATACTATATTAATGATTAAATTATAAATAAAATATTAATTTTTAAATGATCAATTATTAAATTTTAAAATAAATTATCAATTTTTAATATTTAAAAATAAAATAAAAATAAATTAATCATAAAAATATTTAAATTAAATAAATATTAATATTTTAACATGTTAATTATTAAATTATAAATAAAATATTAACATTTAATTTATAAATTATTAATATTTTAATTAAATTATAAATTATTAGTATTTAAAAATAAAATAAAATAAATAATCGTATATACAATAAAGGGTATTTTTGTTTTTTTTATTTTTTATTTTTTTTATTTTAAAGTTATTGTTACCAACCAAACACTATAATAAGTTATAATAGTTATTTCTATTCTTTTCTATTTGTCATATCAAACTACATAATAACTATTCTATTTTATTTCTATGTAATAACTATTCTATTCTATTTTTATCTATTTCGTCAACGAAACATACCATATGATTGCAGAAATAGAATAATCTTTCCGCCTCTATACCTAAGCTTCCTTTAAGAAGCTATTTGCTTTATGGAATGACCATTCCATGATAAACTTGAATAGCCATTATCAATTGAGATTTTGGTAATAGTTATTTAAGGTGGGGAGGAATTAGACAAAAAAAATATTATTGGACAAACTTGCCTTTCATCAATTTAAAAAATTACCATATCATTTTCTTTCTCTTTCTACCCATCCACCTCTTTCCTTCTCTTCTTAAATTTCCTCTACCACCAAAGGAGGCATTGTCGATATCAGTGCCTCTACAGTTGGATTTGGTTATGGGAAGTGTTGATCTGATGCTTTTTAGCCAAATTTGATTGTAGATGCATCAGATTTGATGTCTCATGTTGTATTTGGTTGCGAAAGCATCGTATTTGGCACTCCTCGATCAGATATCTGCAATCAAATTTGACACCCTATAGTCAGATGTTGAAAGTGCTAGATTGGCACTCTTTTACATTGTCCACATCTTTAAGGGTGGATCGACAAGAAAAAAAATAAAATAAATTTAAAATAAAAAATTTAAATTTTGAAATAAAAATTATAAAAACATTTTGAATTTAAAACCTTAAATTAAAATATGAATATAAATAATGTAAATTAATATTTTAAATTTAAAAATTAAATTAAATTTCTAGTTATAAATTATAAAATATTAACATTTTAATTTTAAAAATTAAATTAAAATTCTACTTATAAATTATAAAAAATTAACATTTTAATTTTAAAAATTCAACTAAAAATTATATTAAAATTTTAATTATAAATAATAAAAAATTAATATATTAAATTTTAAAATTAAATTAAAATTTTAATTATAAATTTTTAATATTTTAGTATTTTAAAGAAAAAGAAAAAAATAAAATAATGATATTAATGTTTTAAGTATAAATTATTAATATTTTAAATGAAATATAAATTACTAGTATTCTAAAAAATAACTATAAATAATTATATTAAATATTTAAATAATAATTTATTAATATTTTTAATAAATTATTAATTATCTTTTTATTACTTATATCATTTTTATTCTAAAGTTATTTTTGCTTGATAAAATCAAAAAACTTCTTCAAAACATTTCAAAAGGGTATTTCGGGCTTTCTTGTTCAAAATGAAGTTTTTAGTCTTTTAATTGTTAACATCGTTAGTCAACAGTTAAAAAAAATTAAACTTAATACTACATAAATATTTTAAAATATAAAATACCTTTTATTTTATTTTTAATTTAAATAAATTATTTTTTTAAAAAAATCTTCTCATCCTTCCCTTCAAGACCTTTATAAAAAAAGCTTAGAAAATTTTGATTTGAAGGTTTGGAGATTTGAAATTGTATCTGTCTTGAAAATCATAACTTTTTTTTTTATTATTATAATTAGGAGAAAGGAATTTGAACCTTACTCTTTAGATAAGAGATCATTTACCAACTAATGAGCCAAATACTTGAGTGCTTGAAAATCATAAACTTGTTTCTTGGAGTGAAGTTTATTTTCATCAAACTATTTATTTCTCTAATCGTTTGAGAATTTTTTTTCATTGAAAAAAATGTATTAAGAAGTAAATTTTTTATTCAATGAGGGATATTTCAAATTTGATGGTGTCAGGTCAAGAGATTAATTTTTTACTTGTGATTACTAATTTTATTGAAAAAGTTTTACTCAAAATTCATTTTTTGAGATTAGGGTTTAAGACGACGTAAGAAGATTTTAACTTGATTACTATATATTAAAAGTTTTAAGTTTTTTTTATTAAATATTAAATTTTATTAAGTATCAAAAAGAGACAAACTAACGCATTCACCAATCCCATTTTAGAATTTTATTAAGTTTTAAGTTTTTTTTTGTTTGTCAAATATTGAATTTTATTAAATATCAAAGTGAATTTTATTAAGTTTTGAAAGAAAACATGAATAGATTTTGTTTAAGAAGCCATTTGTGTCTTAAAATATTTATGTAGTATTTAGGTATAATTTTTTTTAGAGGGTTAATAGTTAAGGGATAAAAAAACATTATTTTGAAACGAAAGGACCAAAAACATCATTATTACTATTCTTAAAAATAAAAATAATTATATTATATTATATATTTAAATAACAATTTATTAATATTTTTAATAAATTATTAAAAAATCTAATATTATAATGAAAAATATTTTTATCGATTTATTCTTTAGTCCTTTTCTATTTCAAAGTAATTTTTACTAATCAAATATTAAAATAAATTATAATAATAATTTTTATTTTATTTATTTTTTATGAATTAAATTAATATTTTTATCTTAATTTATATTATTTCTCTTTTGTTCTATTCGGCAAATTAAATACTCTTAGAAGTTGGTGGGTTCCGATTGTTATCCCCTCAATTAGAATTTGCGATTCTGCTTCGACAGAGAAGGTTCCTCTTAGTAAGGGTTAGATGGGATAGACATGATGTTTTCACGAAACTTGTGGTTGGCTAACTGATTCAAATGATTAAAACCCTTAACAAAATCTTACACTCCCTTAGGTCGGTGAGCTTTGGTCGGAAAACTTCATCATCACGCTTTTATTTTATTTCGTCATCACGTAGGTGGTTTGCCCTTTTTGAATCTATACATTACTTTTCAAGTACATGTCTGTCACTTTCAAATTTATGAAACTCATTTATAAATTGTGAATATCACAAATTTAAATTATTATTTTGTATAAAATTAGGGATTTCAAAAGTGAATATAGTGCATAATTTATTAATTAATTATTTTATCTTTTATTAATGAATATTTTATAAAATTAAAATACTGCCTCAGTTTTACTTAACCACCAAAGCAAAATCTAAGTCCAATCCGAAATAGGAAATAAAAAGGATATATTACACTCTCGACTTCTCTTTCTTTTAAAATTCCCATAACAATCATCCTGACCTCTCTCTAAGGTCTCACTTTCCTCCTTAAGTTTACTCTGGTTTTTGGTTTTCCTCTTTCAAGACTTTTCCTTTGATTTTCCATTGTTGAGCGGTTCAAGAATCGAAATTGCTTTTATTTTTTTTTCCCATTTTGTTGGCGGTTAAGCGATAGATTGAAAGATAGAGGGTGAGTTTAGAGGGATTGAGTGGATTGCCAATGTCGGTAGTGAGGCAGTGCGGTATAACAAAGCCGATATCAATGGCAGGTCCCACCAAGGCT